GGAGGACTGGACCTGGAGGCCTTCGACGACTCGGAGCTGTACCAGCAACTGCTGCGCGATTACATGCAAGCGGGGGGCGGGGGGGTAGGGGGTAGGGGGACTGGCAGGGCTGGGCAGATCCTCCGGGAGGGCGAGCAGGAAGAAGAAAGTGGACACCAAGGCCTCGAAAGGGCGCAAGATCCGCTACAGCGTGCACCCGAAGCTGGAGCATTTCATGTTCCCCGTGGACCCGCCCTGTCCCACGGACAGAAACCGCTTGTTCGCCTCGCTGCCTGGCAGGGGGGGCAGGGCGGCGGCGGCGGCGGAGGGGGAAGGGACCGGGGGGGGGTGACGAGGCGGGCGACGGAGTCATCAGACGGGGCCCCAAAGGAAAAAGAAGGCTTGGCTCGAGGTTTATTTTCCATGTGCATTATTTACACTCGCCTAAAGCTCAGCTGATCCTTCTCCTCCAACAACTTCGTTTCTCCCAGTCTCCTCCTCCTCCTCCTCCCTCCCTTTTTCTTTTGCCTCGTCTTCCTCTTCTCCTTCTTCTTCTCCTCCTCCTCCCCCTCCTCCCTCCTCATTCTTTTCTTCCTCCTCTTCCTTCTCCTCCTCCTCCTCCTCTTCCGACGTATAGTAGCACGGCAGGTCATCCTTCTCTGACCTCCGCACCTCCATCTCCTCGAAGCACTCCCTTAGAAAGCTATCCTCCGCCTCCTTCACCTCCTGGCTGTCCGCGCATCTCCCATACCTCTCCAGCACCTCCGCGTTCAGGCGCAAAAACTCAGGTCCCCAGGAGAACTCCGACATGAGCGCTTGCGCCGCCGCCTCCAAGCCGACGATGTGCAAAGCGGCCGCCACCGCCTCCGCGCACGTGAGTTTGAAAGGTCGGCCGTAGTTGACGCTGTTGGCCGCCACCAGGTAGGGAAGGAGGCGGGGGACTCCGCGGGACATTTTGGCGAAAGGGATTTCGGCGAGCCGCGCCCAGGAGCAATCGATCACTGATACGCCCCGGGCATCCACCACGGCTCGGTCCTCTCTCGACACCACCTTGTCCGCCTCAGGGCTCAGGATAAGCCCCCGAAACGGTGCTCCGAGCTTCATTTCCTGGATGTAGCCAAGGCGGGCGAGCTTGCGTCCGGTGCAGCGGTTGGGGTCGCACTGGTCGAAGTCCCACATCTGGAGCTTGATGGGAAAATGCTTGCGCTGATGCTCCCAGGCGCCCATGCTGCTCTGTGCGTTTTCAAAGTTCGTGCCAAGATTCGCCTCCTCGTCATGGACGACTTGCCCCGGGGGGAGGGGAAAGCCATCCGAGGGCGGCCCGTCCCGATACTCCCGTGTCTTGAAACGAGAACCGCGGTGGTGGTGGTGGTGACTGCCCCCGCTGTGACCACCGCCGCGTCCTTTTCCACCGCGCCCTCGCCTGCTACCGGAAGTGGTCCTTCCCTCCACAGCAGCGTCGGCTTTTCGGCTGCATTTCATGCTGCACTTGTGCTAATAGCGGAACGGCAAGTCAAAGGGAGGTGGTAGGAGCTTGGCAGGTGACGTGATTTCCCAAACTTCAAGGCTGAATTAAGGCCCGTGGTCCGCAGTCAGGATGCGCTTAGCTGTGCGTACATACAATAGAAATATCAGGAGCATGTCAATTTCATTGCGCATAGTCTCGCAAAGAAGCGCCCAAGGTGGGTTCCAACTTCGCATTTCCAGCCTCCTATCGCCCGGTCACGTCAACAAGTCGCTCTCCGTCTCATTCCCATTTCTTCAAGCCTCATTTTCTTCCTGCCACTATCTCACGGCGCTCAGGTGTTGTGAGCATCCTTCAACAAAGCAATGGTGCGCACCTTTATACCGCAGCCAACACAGGATGATGCTCAAGTCCTACTGGCCAAACGGTTTTTCGTAGTGGGCTGCCTGGGCTTGCCCTGGCTGTGGGCCGTCTCTGTGCTTTACTTCTGGCCTAAACTCCACGGAAATGAAACCGCTGAGCAGACTGGCCAAGCGCATGGAGACAGCAATTTGAACAGAGAAGGACCACGCGTCGCGAAGTCGGAATTACGGAAGTGGGTAAACCGCTCCTTAGTGGGAGCCATAGTAGGCTTCGGCCTCCTCTTTGCTTGGCTTATTTTCTTCCAACTGCGATGGCAGAAATGGGGTTACGGCGTGCTCCCCTACATGGTCAGCGCGCCACAGAGCTATTCGTCGGGATGGTAAAGCAAAGTAAAGGAGCAAGGACAAAATAGACAAAATTTGTAGATTTAATCTGTGGCCCGTGAGTTGTGCATAGCACGAGGAAGTCGCCAAGTCTTTATTGCTTTGTGTGCCACTTCCATCTTTTGACCGGGAGACCATTTGTCATAAAGCGGGACAGTTTTACCCCACGAAACGTCGCATCGCACTCGAGCAGCCTTAGTCCTGCTTGGCCTCATCCCCCCCCCCTCTGCATGCGGCTCCTCTCCACCCCCGCCTTCATACCGGGGCCGCGGCACGTTCTTCAGGTCGTTGTTCAGATTCCGCTCCAGCACGAGCAGGTCAAGCGCTCCGTAGTTCAGAGCCGAATGCGCGGCAAGCCAACCGCCAAGCAGGCTGCCGACGAATGTCCCGAGAACCAGGTCCCCGCCCCCCAAGAGCACGTTCGCCACGCCCGGCACGATCCGGGTGCGCAGACCCGGGGCCATGAAACGCGGAGGCCGGTGGGACAGCCCCACGCGGAAAGGGCCGACCGTCTGGATCCCTTGCTCCTCCACGTGCCCCTCCAGCTGCGGGTACAGCTGCAGGAGGTGGCGCACCAGCCCCTGTTGCAACCGGCGCACCTTCTGGTCTGAGGGCGGCTTGATGTGGTAAAATTTGAGGCCAGACGGGCCCGCAGCCATCGTACTGGAGCCAGGCGCCGCTTTTCCCTTGGAGCGAGCGTCGGCAGGCCCTGAGACAGGCTTGCTGCTAGTGCTTCCGTCCACTCGCCGGTAGCACACCTCCAAAATGTCGTCGTCGGCCTCCGTCTCTATCACACAGGTGCTGTATCCCCGTGCCCCGCCCTTCGCCTCTTCTTTCCCATGCGTGTCTTTGCCGACAGGTCCTGTAATGGTCGCCACGCCCGATGGCTCTTTCGCCGACGGAAAATAAATGTGAAACCAGCCCCGGGGCGCCCCTCCTCCCCCTCCGCCGCCCTCCTCGGTCGGCAACTGATAGTAGTCCGAAGCGGGTAGCTCTAACTCTTCCGCCGAACCCTTGAGCAGCACGAGCGTGTACAGGCGGGGCCTTGCCTCCTGCAAGCAGTCTCCCCCCGCGGGGAGAGGGGCCTTGGGAAGGTACTGGGTGAAGAGGGGGACCACGCCCGAGGCGCAGATGACCGATTTGGCACAGGACACCTTCTCTCCATTTTCCAGCACCACTCCCACCGCCCGCGTGGGCTTGCTCTGGCTGTCCAGCAGGATCTCTCTCACGTGCGCGCGCGTCAAGACCCGGCCGCCGGCCGCCTGGATGGTGGGGACCAGGGCCCGCGCCAGGCTCCGGAAGCCCCCCTGCGGGTAGCTCAGGCCTTCCAAGGCGTGGTTCGTCGCCGACACGTAGGCCGCGAAGGACAGCTCCGAGGGTTGCAGGTTCTCCGTGCGGAACATGCCCCGCAAAAGGTCGAGCTGTCGATAGTCCGGGAGGGTCACCCCCAAGACCTGCTCCGCGGTCCTCGCCCCCACGCCCCCGTACTGCTGCCCCAGGAGCGTTGTGATCCACCCGGCGGTCTGCTGCGAGAAGAGGCGGCCGATGAAGAAGGCAGACTGCTCCCGGGCCACCGCCTGGAGCCGACTCACGAATGTGCCCACCCTCTCCCGGTTCTCGGGTCCCGGCGCGGAGGTGACCTGGTCGTCCACCAGGGCCTGTTTCCCCGCGCGATAAACCACGTCGCCCAGGCCCTCGATCTTGACCACGTCGAAGGAGTGCCCGTCCGCCTCCGTCCCGATCCGTGACCATTTCACCTCGGGCGCCCCTTCCAGGGCGCCGGCTTTGAGGAGCTCGTCGTAGACGTGCACCATGCCCGCGTTCAGCAGGCCCCAGTCGCATTCCACCCCTTTCAGCTCGCTCGTGCAGTTCCCCACCGTCTCCCCGCCCTCCAGCACCAGCACTCTGTGGCCGACGCGGGCCAGCAGGGCCGCCGCGTACAGCCCCCCCACGTCCGATCCGAGCACGATGTGGTCCACGTCTTGGGGGAGGGTCAGCAGGGTCCGGATGTCTCGCGCGTCCTCCGACAGGCCCGGCGCCCCGTGGGCCTTCCCTCTCTTGGCCTGCGCACTCCGTGGATCGCCCTCTACTCCCTGGGCCTCGTCTGCGGCCCCGGGAAGCCGCTTCTTCCGCTCCTCCGCGGGGACATAGCCCTTCGGCCGGCGCAGCTTCGACCAGGCCTTGAGCCCAACCGCGGAACCAGCGATGAGGATGGGGTGGATGTTGTAGAAGAATGCAGCGGCCAGACAGAGGACCGAGAGGGGCTGTCGGGCTTTGAAGAGCATGTAAAGGAGGACCAGGATCGCGGCCGGCGCCATCCTGGCCTCCCCGACCAACTCGATCGCCGCCAGGTCGTCCAGGAGCCCCATCACCCACTGGAACCAGGGATTGAGGATCACGTGCTTCCACATCCCATACTTCTCGTCCAATTCCCGCTCCTTCTTCGCCGCGTCAGCTGTCGACTTCCAGTCGATGTCCTTGGCCCTGTCCAATGCCTCCCGTCGAGCTCTTTCCACTTTGAGTCGCTTTAGCTCCTCCCCTTCTTTGGCAGCGTCCTTTGTGGCTTCTGCAGCAGCAGTAGCTGCAGCAGCGGCCGCAACCTCCGCGGCGGCCTCGTCCATAACCTCGCTGTCGATCCCTTGCCGCTCCAAGCTCTCCCAGACGCGCGGAGACACCGTGCCCAGCTTGACGGCGGCGACTTCATGCACGGAAGCAGGTGACAAAAAGATGAAAGCAGGTAGAAGAAGAAGAGGCGTCATTTTTAAAACGCTTGCTCTTTGTTTCCTCCTTGTCAAGGGAGGCATTGCGATGTCGTGCGGAATGAAAATTGCTGGAGTGGAAAGGCGGCTTTCTAAAGTGAGGGAGGTCGACGACGAGTAGTGTAGCTTTGCAACCAAAGAAGGGAAGCCTCTCGCGGGCGTTCTGTGGGCAGGGTGTGCGTAAAGAAGGCACCATGCTTGTGAGACGAGTCAATGGGAAGCCAGTGGGAAGTCTTCCACAGTTCGCGATCGCCCGGATGCCGCCCTTGCGGCCTCTAGCTAGACATGGCATTGCTTGCGTGCTGCTGACCTCAGGTCTCGCTCTCTCGCCGTTTTACGCCGCCCGGCTTGGCGGCGTCAACTTGACTCACCCGTCCTTCTCGACGACAGGTCGCGCCGGGACGCATGCATACTTCAAGACAAGTAAATCAATCGGCTGACCTCCAGTACTCCACAGTGTTGTGGGAGGCGGCCTTTGACGCCAATAAAAATGACGACGACACGGAGGAGGCCGACCTCAGCGACGAAGAGATGAGGGAAGCGCATGGGCCAAGCCTGGAGCACTCAATCATGGTGGCTCGCGGGGGAAAACTGTGCATACGGGTGCGGGACGACTCATGGATACTGCCGGGGACAGTATTTGTCTCTCACTTCGACTCCGTGAGCTCGCAAGGCGGCAAAGGTCCCATCGAGGAGAGTGGTTTGGTGGGAGTGGGCGATTTTCTGGTCCGGGTCAATGGATGCGACGTCGTAGGCAAGGGGGCTCGGCACGCTTTGGCTCTGATCAAAGATGAGGCCAGCGCCGATTCTGTCAGCCTGACGTTTCGACGGCTGCAGACGTCCAGCATATCCAGAGAGGGAAACCGAATAAGAAGCGAGGCTGGGATCCATTTGACGGAGCAACGTAAGTCCACAAACAGGATTAAATTCTAGAAATTGCATAGTAACATCAATATTAACGCATGTCATGAATTCGTTACCGCAGATCAAAGCAAAGAGGGCTTTTTTCCTACCTTGTACTCACATGTTTCTATTTCCTTCCTTCGGCACTAGACCGTGTTCTCATGTTCCGTTATCTGCTGGATAGCAAACCTATCGATAAAAGACGCCTGGCCTCTTTGGCCGGCGATGGCATCCCAGACGTCGATAAGCATTTGCGGCCATTGGCGTGGCGAATCTTGCTCTTATATCTGCCTGATGAGGTATCGCTATGGGATGCTCATTTGAAGCAAGAACGTGCAATCTACTACCAATTGGTGCAAGAATTGACAATAATGACCGGGCCCGCAGCGTCATGCCCGCCTTCTGCCTCGGGCCATGTGATTAATGAGAGCGAGGACCAGAACTTCCGAGGCAGTTGGAGGGCGGGCGACGCCTCACCGCGGTTAGATACACCGCTATGTGCCTTGTCCTCGGCGCCCTCCCAAGAAGGAGACGCCCGGAACACCGCAGGTTCAATGAAAGCCACAGACCCGAATTTGACTTTTTGCCAGGGGCATCCGGGCTCAGCGCCTCCGCTTCCTCGCAGCGGCCGTGGCTCTGGCGAGCTGGATGTCTCCCTGGGCTCATCCCAAGACCGGCTGCCGACCCGGCCTCGCTTCGATGCCGACCGGTCCCTCTTCAATGAAATTCGCAAAGACGTGGTTCGCACGCACCCAGACCAAAACTTCTACCAGGACCAGACCTTTGGGACTGCGCGGTACGATGCTTTGCTACGCATCCTCTTCATTTACGCCAAGACGAACTCGGGCACCCGGTACATCCAAGGGATGAACGAGCTGGCAGGCACGCTCTTCTACGTGATGAGCAGAGACTCGGACCAGGAATGGGCAGAGCACGCGGAGGCTGACACCATGTTCCTCTTCGCGCAACTTATGTCGCAGCTCAGGGATGTGTTCATCGAGAAGATGGATGAAAGTGACACGGGTATCGAGAGCAAGTTCGAGCAGCTGGAGGTCCTCCTGGAGCGGCATGATCCCACCCTATCAAAGCATTTTCGTATGATCGGGCTTGAGGCCCATTTCTACTCCCTTCGATGGATCACGACTCTGTTTTGCAGGGAGTTCACGCTGCCAGACACAATCGCGGTGTGGGACGCCTTGTTCGCAGACAAGGACTTCTCCGATTTCATATTGTACTTCTGTCTCAGCATGCTGATGGAGCAAAGACAAGAAATGCTACGATGTAGCTTCGCGAAATGCTTGCAGTCGCTGCAAGCCTACTCGCCCGAGGCAGAAATGAAGCGACTTTTACACCGGATGAGGAGCCTGCGGGCGCAGGATTCCGCCTCCGGATTCCGTGTCGATCGAAGAGTGGGAGAGGCGGCCACACCATCCACAAGTCGCGTCCGTAATTACTTTTCTCGTGTATCGTCGCGAATGAGAGATGACGTGCCAATAGCCCTCGGATCTTTTTCTACAGAGAGCAAGTCCCACTTAAAGCGGGCAGGGGCACAGCTGAAAGCCTCTTTCGGCAGTATGCGCAAGCTAATAGGTGACAGTATGTCTGTCCTTCCTTCTCCAGGAGCCACAGGCGGAGCGCCATCCACTACATAGCATTCAGATTTATCGATGATCAATCACTGATTTCGTGAATCGGAAAAAAAATGTGGTGAAGCTAAATCACCTTATGCGGCTTTTCAGGATGCAAGACAAAGTCGACGACGATCTCACTCCAGACTGTAAAATATGGCCGTCAGCAAGAATACAATTGCACAGTATCGACAAACGCATGCATGCAAATATATGATTATAGAAAATCATTGTTCTTGTTACACTTATTCTTATAGATATAAGATCATGTCTTTGCTTTTGTGCCTCCCCATGCGTAACAGCCTTTCGAATGTGTGACAGTGTGCCGCACGCTGTCTATTTTCTCATTTGGCTCTTACTTTTGAGGAGCGCTACTGTTTACAGCCGACAACGATAATGCCTTCGGAAAATTCCGAGCCAGCACGGTATCATCTGCAAATCATTTATGATAGTGTCAGATTAAAGCCGAAGCAGACGTTTCGCTGGTTCTCAAATCCATGGGTGTTCCCTCTCATCAAAAATCGAACACCAGTCGCCCACGTTGCTTGTCTTCCCACACCCTGGTCCCAAACTTGGCCGACATTTTCTGGAAACGGTCCTTAATTATCTGATAGTCTTCACCTGTGGCTAGCCTTGTCAAACAGAAATCTAGCTTCAAGGGCACGGCCTCCACGCGCCACGGCTCTTTGGCGTCAAGGTCGAAGAGCACGAAGAAAAACAGGCCCAAATCGTTTCGTGCGTACTGATCTGTGGCATAATCATCCACAAAGTCCCCCAGATCGTAAAGACACCGCAGCTCGGCTGATGCACCTTGAAAGCAATGTGCGCTGTGGCCCGCAATCAAATCCGTACCCATGTCTCTCAACATCTTGCTCGCCTCTTGCACGTACATCAATGGCTCCAGGCACATGTTGGGCCCCCAGTGAGGGGAAACCATCACGACGTCACACTGTTCGACCTCTCTCAGAAACCGGACTTTGTCGCGTACCCAGTGGGGTACCAAGGGGCCCATTCCACCCCCTCCGCCTCCGCCCGTAACCGCCGGCGTATCGAGATCACTACGACTGGGAGAAATGAATCAAGAACATGACTTAGTAGAACTCAGCATTCTCAGTTCCAAATAAGAACCCGCTGCCCCGTGCATTCAAGAGTGTGTGCGTTACACCAAGAAACTTACCGTTGCAAGTCCACGTAA